TGACCTCATGAGGTCACAGAAATATGAACCTAAGTGTCAGACGTGGCGTCACAGCTCCTCTGGAATGATCTGTGTTCAAACTGTCATCAGAAATATAAAGAGCTGCTGCACACACACACACACACACACACCTGGACCCACCTGAGCCACCTCTGGGGCTGCGTGGATCAGGTGCCACACGTAGCCGTTCAGCTCATCCTTCCTCCTGTCAGCCGTCGCCTCGCCACGAGAACGACCAATCACAAACCGGTTAGAGAAACTGTAGGCGGAGCAAAGACCACACTGATTAAATCCATTGTTGGATTACCTGGATTACAGCTTCAATACACCTGGATTACAGCTTCATTACACCTGGATTACAGCTTCATTACACCTGGATTACAGTTAAACTACACCTGTGTGCTCAAGTGTAGTTATGTGTACTTGTGTGTAGTTGTTGAATTGTCTAGTTGTGTATAGTTGTGTACTTGTGTGTACCTGGGTAAATTGGAGGAGGGGAAGAGGAGCCTGAGTTTGTTGTGAAGCTCCTGGAACTCCTCAAAGGTTCTCTGGACCAGCTGCACCTCCTGCTGACCCTCACGCTCCACTTTCACCACAAAGCTCTGAGGCAGAGACACACAACTCAAACACAAACCTCTTTGCTTTAAACACACACTGACACACACACACACAGTGTATAAACACACACTGACACACACACACACAGTGTATAAACACACACTGACACACACACACACTATAAACACACACTGACACACACACACACAGTGTATAAACACACACTGACACACACACACACACACTAAACACACACTGACACACACACACACACAGTGTGTAAACACACACTGACACACACACACACAGTGTATAACCACACACTGACACACACACACACAGTGTGTAAACACATAGTTACGTAGGCCTTGCTGGTGTTGCTGGTGTTACTGGTGCGGATGTGTCTGCAGATGTACAGGTTGCTGATGACACCATCAGTCCTCACAGTGTGGACCCTGGGAGCGAAGGACAGGGTGGGCCGGTCCTCTGATGACGTGAACTTCATCTGAGCCAGATTGTGGATGAAGAAGTTCAGTTTGGTGGCGACACTGCCCAGACTGGACTCAATCAGCCTGTGTGAGGACACACAACATCACAGGAGCTGATGGTTCGATTCCTGCTCATCTCAACTGGGTTCAGATCAGGTTTTTAACATCTGCAGTGAAGCTCCGCCTCCAACTGATCAGCTAAGAATGGAGCCCACCTCCATCAGACTGGTGATGTCACCTTCAGGTCTGCTTTTACTAGTCACACTCAGCCTGCACAAGTCTTTGACTGACAGGTCCTACAGGTCCTACAGGTCCTACAGGTCCTACAGGCTGACAGGTCCTACAGGTCCTACAGGTCCTACAGGCTGACAGGTCCTACAGGTCCTACAGGTCCTACAGGCTCCTACAGGCTGACAGGTCCTACAGGCTGACAGGTCCTACAGGTCCTACAGGTCCTACAGG